CCCTTGACAATGGCGCCAAGATGTCGCCGAAACGTCGGATTTATCTATCGTTAGTTTTTGCCTGTATATGTTTATCTAAATCATTGTTGATTAGAATAAACTGAGAGTAGAAAAATGTTTAAAATGGCATAAAGTTAAGAAAAGGAAAAAAACAAAAAACAAAAAAACAAAAAACAATTGCGCCCAACGTGGGGCTCGAACCCACGACCCTGAGATTAAGAGTCTCATGCTCTACCGACTGAGCTAGCCGGGCAACAGGTGGGTGGACATGGTATATGTTAGCTATTTGTCTTGTTTATCAAGTCTTGCATACAAAACGTCTTGCGGTGATACACTTTCGCCCACAGGGTCAACTTTTGCCCTTGGTCTAAACCGGAGATGAACATCAACTACCAACACCTTTCTCTACTTACTTATAGGCCAGTCTTCTGTAAGCCAGCAAAATATCTTCATCATGGACGAACCGATAGCTGTCACGTATTAGCCATTTTCTGAGATAATGCGTGTGAAAATACTCTATCATTTCCTGCATAAATAACAATAAGGAACGAAGTTACAGGTGGAGAAACAGAAGTTACTGTAGTCAAAATGGTTAGTTTAGTGTCAGTAATGGTGCGAAGGGTGAAGGCTGTTACGTCAACGCGATGCGTCAGCTAGGTTACTAAGCAACAATTGACAGCACTCAGTGCGATTCACGTGATGACGGAGTTCTGTGCGCTGTTCAAATGGATGCCAATACAGTAATGTTTCACATAATTTGCTAACGTTTTCTTTAAACAGTAAACTAGGATCTCAAAAGCGTACAGTATTTTACGTCATTCGAGGAATTCTTACCCAGTAATATCCGTGACCCCGCTGACCACTGATTTCTTCAATTCCAGCCACAAGGTGGTCTAAAAACTAAAACAATCGATGGAAAAAAGTCGAGTCAAGATTGTTAACCTTTAAAGGCCAACTAAAATATATGGGCAACAATTTTCTCGCAACCTGTGCCGCTTATTCCTGAGCTCCACGTTGCGGCAACATTGTGCACAAAGTTGAACTCATGTGTACTTCGAACAACATGTTCTTGTTAGTAAAACGCTCTCCATAAATCACTTTGTAATGCAACATTCTTCAGCGACAAGTTGCAAGGAAAATGTTGCCTGCATTACTTGGCCTTAAAGAAAGGGCTATCAGAACTGAATCTGGGACGAAGAATGACAACATTTCTGTACGAGAAAATTTTTTTCAGGTGCTTTTGCAAATCATCAATATCATTTTTTTTAGGATGAGTTCAAGAAAATCAAAAACACGATCTAGACCATTAAAAAACTCGCAACTTTAGAATTAAGGCGTTTGACAATTGACAGAAGTACATCTACGAAGCAAGGACAAAGGAAGGATGGAAATGGACTAATATTACAAAACTTAAAAAATGCTGCACTGTTGATTCCAGAAAATTGCATTCTGCAGTATGTCGCATACAACGGAATGAATGGGTATGGTGTGGCCAATTTACAAAGTCTGTATTTCTGATACAACCTCAACATGAATGTTGTAAATTCCTATTACACGCCTGCACTCGCAGAGTTACTTTTCAATAACCAGCGCGAGGTTGATAAAACCGGAGAAAAAAAATGCGCAGAAGGAACGCTTAGCTTCTACCAGGCGTTCAGTTAGTTGCTGCGCAGCGCGAAAAAATGGCGAAGCGAAAGCCGAGAGAGAGGTTGCGCCCCAACTAACTAAACGCCTCAAAGAGGTTAGAGGCACGCAGACATTCTTCTTGTTAGCAGGAGTGCAAGCAAGCAACACCAACGTCTGCGTAGCAGGTTTCCTGTGTTACGAGATTGAACATCATTTTTCTTGTTTCCCTTCGTTCACTAACAACTAATACTAGCGAGAAGAGCTTACATGTATGTACCTTTTCATTAAGCTCCGCATACATGCTGCGTTGTTCCTTCCCCCTCAACTTGACGTGAAGAATCCGCACAAGAGGTTTAATGGTCATTCCCTGAAAATAAAAGAAGAAAATGATATACCACCAGACCATTCACTAGAAACTCTGTACATCATTTCAAAGTGTTAACCAAGTTCGCTTAAAAGTCCCGAAATTTACCATTAAAATCAAATGGTCTTTGTCAACGTAACTCGACAAGTCTTTACCTGAAAGAAAACCGTGAAAAGGACGATCACAATCGTGGTTGTGACAAACATATTCTTCATAGGAAAATGATCCTCGACGAGCAAAATGGACAGAGAAAACGACACAGCTCCTCTGATACCACCATAGCTCTGAAAAGAAAGAAAGTGAAAATAAGACAACCAAATTCCTTCAACTGGTTCAACTGAATTTGTGTTACACTTCTAGGTGGTTCCCAGTGCGCGGTATGTACCTAATGTTTGTGAATTTTCACTATATATTAACTGCGGTTCCAGATTTTGTGATGTAGCAAATTTATAAGTAGTTTCACGAGAAGTGAAAGTTAAAACTTCAGAAACTTCTAAGTGTGAGCTAAAATCACAAAAATGTCAAATTTCGAAAAAACTGCTAAATTCAGAGTCACCAAACTCTTGATAAGAAAAAGAAATTATTTCCCTTTGACCCGTTTCACTCGTGGCGTAGTAGTTTTCACCCTGTACGCCCACTGAAGAGCCTGCTCAGGCTTAATGAAGCAAGTGCTAAGAACAGCAACTTCAATTTGAGTCTGAGCTGTAAAAAACAAGGAACCCTACCACTATGCTTGGCAGCATTGCTAGTAAGGTAAGGTAACTAGTCATTCGAGATGCAATCCTTTCAATTCACTGTGAATTGATTTTTAGGTAGAGTTAATACAGTGTCCCCAATTAGCTCACATGGGCTAAATACATTGACACTTAAATAAAGTTCTTATTTACTTACTTACTTGTGACCAAAGGGACAAAAACACGGTAAGTTGTACAAAAAGCAATCTATGCATGCACTACAACTAAAATTAATAATTACCATGATAAACTGATCAACAGCACTGAGTTTGTTGAGCCGATTTTTGTTGGCAAAGAATGTCAGTATAACCACACCTGAAATAAAACAGAAGATGAACAGATACGTGTATCATTCCTACATTACAATGTAAGTGTACAAGGCTTGTATTTGCTCTTGTAAGTGTACAAGGCTTGTAAATTGTTCTGAGGAAAAATGTTTAAAGTGGTAAAAGACTTTACTAGAGACATTCAGAGAGTGAAACACTAAGATACACACAGACTAATCGTCCAAACGTTGGAAAACCAGGTAGTGCTCATTTACAAATGCCCCATAAAATAAGGGCAATGTACTGTAACGTCATATTGAATCCAACCTGGTCCACAAAGTTGGGGCCTATACCAGATTTTCTTGCTTGAAGCAACTAGAAGTACTTCGTATCCTCCGGGATCGGATTTGACTGAGTCTGAAACCATGTTACCCCAAGATCATTTCAAATGCCAAGTTGCCCTGATAGGTTTTTGGTACCAGTTTCAACTCAAGAACACAATGCATTGACCATGGGTCTTGCCCAAACTCAGGGTGTTCGATCTGGAGACTAATGCACTAACCCTTAGATCACCATGTGTCTGCCTCACTAATACGAACAACTCACCCAAAGCCCTGAAGAGCAGGATAAATATCAGTGTAACAAACACAAAAGACGTGTTCCACACGTGTGGCCAGCTAACCACTCGCACTCCAAGAAACATAAAGATGAGAGTTTCACTGCTAGAGCTGTAGACAGGCACAAAATTAGCAGATCAGGATATGAAAATAAAAAGCAGCAATGTGTAACATTTACACACAAGTTACTTCATACAAGTATTAAACTCTGTGATAAAGATAGAAATTGAGAAATGCCAAAAGTTTTGATTTCATCACATGTAGCCCTTTTAAATACATCTTACATGTAAGTTGCTACAATATAAGGCAAAATGATGATTACAACAAATTGCTCATTTAAGTTATGGATTGCCTTGGTTGTGTTTAAAACAGGAAATGATGAAATGAAGAAATGTCACTACAGTTAGACTAAATAGACCTAACTAGTGTACCACTTAGACTAAAATAATAGCACCCAGGTTAACCTCAATATCACTGACTTGAAGGTGGATAGCTCTCAACAGTTTTATGGGCTAACGGTATCCCACATTGTTAACTGCTTTTTCGTCATTTTGTGTTTTGCACAAGCCTAAAGGTGTGTCTTTCTGATGGCTAAATTTGAGATATGACGAAGACATGACATCACCACAGATGATCTTCAGCTTAGTCTCCGTACAGTCGTCATTTGGGGTTGTCACATGCACATGGAAGCATGGCGTAATGAGCCCCGAAAGGCAGGCTGTGTAGGAGATGTCTCCTCTACTGAGATCAGAAATGAAATCACACACTAGAGAGCCAGTAACAAAGAAAGTTGACAAAATTACCTGAGCATCTTGAGAAAATACTTGATTGTTGTGTGAGATTTTCTTGATATGTTTAGCTCCACATAGGGCTTCATGATGATAGCACAGGTCACAATACTGTATACAGTGAAACCAAAGACCTGATGTCAATAATTATAATTTTTAATTCACTCTTTTCCTTGTTGGTCTCCATAGATTTTGCATGCTATTAGTTGGGCAAAGAATTTGATTTTACCTTTAAGCTGTTATTAATAACAATTCCTATTCATGATGACAGTGGTGGATCTAGGAGAGGGACCCAGGAGGCCTCAGCCACCCCCTTACTTTGGGTAAAAAAAATCGCAGAGGGAAGAAGAGCCGGCAGGGCAAGCAAAAATAAAAAAACAACAAAAACCAGGCCCCCCCTTAGCTCAAGGTCTAGATCGGCCACTGGATGAGAACCTCATATTTTGAAGATTGCCACATCGTACAACCCACTGTTACACTGTACATGTACCTGTCATCATTACACATGGCGTGGTCTGTGTAGTGTCCCTTGGAGTAAGGCTACTGATTACGAATTATACATATTGGTCACAAAATGGCGGTGGGAGTGTGTGACCCCGACCTCAAGTTTTGTCACACACTCTGTGTCTTAGCTTAGAACAAGTACTAAATGACATGATTGTAGAATTACTAACAGTAAATACTGCAGCTATTTTTGTGTTTTGTAATACTCTAGATAAACAATTATGTTTTGGGGGATTTTAGAAAACAGAGAGGGAAAAGGTGGTGTGCAATGTATTGAGGCAAAACTAGAGTTACATGTTTTGGTTACCTCATGATTCCAGACAAGTGGAACATTTCTGCTGTCAGGTATGAGAGGTAACTCATAACAAACACAAAGATGGGTTCAATCACTGAAAAAATAAAACAAACATTCCATTAACGAAGTAAAATTAATGCATTAAAGGAAATTTTTATCTTGTACCCACAAATTTAACCAGTTAAAATGAAATGTTTGCTTGTTGTATGGACTACCTTAAAGGTTATAGTGCATCGCACAAATGAGATAAGAATTCCAAGAACACAAACATGGGCCCCCGTGAGAGATGAGCGAAAAAAAATTAATGTTGAAAAAGAGCATAATCAAGGCTCTTTAAATCCTTGCCAAGATCTTCATGGATCTTACAAAGTTCTTTGCTAAGGTTGCTGCCATGCTAGGAATTTTAAAGCTATATTAAACATCCCTCTCTTGACAGAACTGTCTTAACATTGTCAAAGTTGTTTAAGTTGTGTCAAAATTATGAGTGCAAAGTGTTGTGTGAAGATCATTCATATGTTTATAGAACTATCTTAGGCAGGTTTTTGAAGATCTTTAAATTCCTGCAAGGATTTTTCAGCTGGGATGGCCAAGAATTAGACTATGATCTACTGAAGTAGAAACCACAACTTAACAAGAAACAAATTGAAATATGAGGACTGATGGGTCTATTCTTCAAACCCTACAAAACATTACAAATAATTGTATTTAAGATGACTGTTAGTGGCAGAGTGAGGAAAAATACCAATTCCAATAAATGTTGTGTAATTTTTTCTAGCAAATTATCAAACTATGGATTTAACTGTGATGTACCCACCTCGGACATGGTCAGTATATTTGGTTACAAATGCTGTGGTTAATCCCCAAAGCAATCCCATTAGGGTTCCACCAATACTAACCACAAAGAATGATGCAAACCCAAGGAGGATCTGAAAAGTTTCAACAAATAAATTTTGAAAATGAGCTCATTAATCACTTCCAAAACAAACAGTACCTGAAAACAATTCCAAGCTATTAGAAGTAAGCCAGATCAGCTGTACAATGTACATGGACTAGTCGTTGTTAAGTTAAATTCTAGTTGAGTACAAATAGTTTTCTTTAATTACATACATTATCACTATAATGACAATCAATTTCACATTTTCATTCTGACCCCAAGTTATACCTCTTTATAAGCGACTACATCAAAACCTGCTAAGGCCTCAAAAAGGTGATATAATACCACAGTCACAGCATCTGTGAAAAAAAGAAAATTTTAGCATTATGTACCATCTGGGTCAAACTCAGCAACTCAGTAACTCCGTCTCGGTCCATAAACACGCAAAAAAAGAACTTGGCCAATATTCAGCCATCTTGACCTCACACTTGGCCAATATTCAGCCATCTTGACCTCACACTGGGTCAATAACCCATCTATCTATCTATCTGTCTGTCTGTCTGTCTGTCTGTCTGTCTATCTGTCTATCTGTCTATCTGTCTATCTGTCTATCTGTCTGTCTATCTATCTATCTATCTATCTATCTATCTATATTTCTATCTATCTATTTATGGATTCGTACAAGTACAGGTGCTTAACAACAGGACATAAGTCCCCTACTTGGTTAATACACCCAGACCCAACCCCCTAAAAAATATCACGAAAAAACCCTTCCCTGACCCGACTAAACTACAAATCAAATAATCTAATAGCAAATAATCTAAATAACACAAATACAATCTAAAATATACTAATCAACTTAACAAGTAACCCATAAATACTAACATTCCATATTTTACTGTAAAAATAATTTCTACTTTTTTATTTAGTAATTATTATACAATAGAACAAGTAAAGGGTACTGAATTCTTACCATTCAAAAGTGATTCACCAAACACCAGGATGTAGAGCATGACATTAACATGAATCTCTTCAAACACAGCCAGCACCTGTGTAAATTAAAGGATATTTTTTTTAAAAATGTTACTAGCGAAAAAGTGTCCAAGAGGGAAATAGATCATGAATGAGCCTTTGCCTCCCTAAAAATATAACAGTTTATTGCCAATACCATTGCCTTCGCCCAGCCCCACCCAAAAAATCCTTGAGGAAGGTTTTTACTAGCAATGGAGTGAGAGTCGCAGTTGGAGTAATAAGAGGGCTTTAAGTCATAAGCTTGACAGAATCAGAGTGCAAAGAATCAGAACATTTCCATTTCTTTTGATTCCGTTTATGACGCTGTCCCTTATGATTCAGTGGAAACTGGATTGCCAGATTCGGAAGCAGAAAAACCAACCAATCACAAGGCCTGGTTTATTCTTCTGCTTCTCCTTGTAATCTGTCAATCTAGTTTTCACTAGATTATAATCAAAAGAGTCATTTAGGTTAAGTAGAATTGGTGTTCTGCTTCGCACTCTGTTGGTTTGATTTCATTAGATTGTGTTGCGTATGCTTCTGACGATAATGATTAAAACTCCGAATATGACTCCGTTACTAGTGAAAACCAGGCTTTATAAAGCTTGCTTCTCCCCTCAGTCAGTGTCATCCTTAAGAAGGTAGCCAGGACCAAGTTGTCTTTAGTTGAATTACTCAGTGTCTAAGTTGCCCTTCTCTGGGGGAGCAATGTTGTTGCATGTTTTGACATTAAGTTGTTAGAACTACAGTCAGAGTTCAGTTCTCTCAGGTTGGTGGATGTATAATATTACAACATTACATAGCAGTAACTTTAGAGCGGTCTTCCAATGAATGTCAAAAAACCAAAAGAAATGAAAGTAATTACTCTGGCCAATCACAAAGGATGCAGACAATCCTGACCAGTGAACCAAAGAAGATGCAAACTGAATACAATAGAGTCCTCTAGCTGGCACAAAAGCATAGGAAAAGAATTATTCAGAGCGAGTCACGACTGGATTTGGCTTTACTTCAGTCAATGGATGGAAAAGTGGCACAAAATTTTGAGTCCAATCACAAAGCATAGTACTGTGAAACCTGGGAGGCAGACGCAAATTACTTTCCACATTCAAGTGACAACTGCTCTTGAAATCCTTCTAACAGTGACTGTACGAGTTAACTTACAGCAACTGGATCTACAGCAGCTATGAGTGATGAAAAGGTCAACGCATGCATCAATTTCAGGTCCCATCCCACACTTCCTGATACTCCAAACAGGGACAGACCTGTTTATAAATGGATATCAAGAAAATAAATTACAAATAATCAATGAGGATCAAGAAAATAAAAACTGAATACATACAATTTTAATGAGGATCACATTTTGGTCTATTAATTAAATCACATAATTATATGGATGTATTTATGAAAACCGTGTCAAAATTGGGGCAAAACTTTTTTGTCTAACTATTAGCGATAGCCAGCAGTCAGGGTGCTGAGCACTGTGCTTCTGTCAAGGAGGGTTGGGGCAGACAGCCCAGGTCTGTTGCTACCATCTGATACCAAGCTGGGCCCCAAGGACGTAAACCCCAGGGTGGGTCACAGAGAGAGGCATTTTTGTTAGTAAAACTAGTCATTTTCTTTGCAGGACAGTCTTGGCCCACCATGCCCTACAGGCTTAGGGGCTGCTCTGCAGGCGTAGGGGCCAGAAGCCCACCACACACAAGCAAGGTGGGTGAGTAGGTTGCATAGTGACAGACTGGCAGCCTGTGACTGATTGATTGAAAAAGCCTGACTCATGAGTATATATTTTCTTGGAAAAGTGGCAGGATGGTTGTGTTGAAATTGACACAGTTTTCAAAAATCCAGACATTAATTATAAAATAGGGTCTCAGCATGCCAATGTTTGTGAGTCTCAAAAGATGGAGTGCAAATCAATGATATTGACTTATCTTTGAAACATGTACAAAGTTGCTTCATCATGCAATATTAGAGAGAACGAAAAATAAAATTAGAGCTTGCATCCATATTGGCAGTTGACATGAAACTTTAAATTTACTCCATGCAAGTAGTGTGAAAGGTTACATTCTGTGACATCTTACATGAATCAAAACAAAAAGTAATGTAAAAGAACTCTTGAGAGTATGTAGTACAAACTGGAAAACACCTTTAATCAATTCTCTTTTTGACAAATGAATGTACAAAATATCTTGAACTTATCATATTAATTGCTTAAATATGATTTATAATCTAAAAACGAAATGGAAAATGGTTCTTTAGTTACTACAGTACTTACCTACTGTAAATGTATTAAAAATTGTTCCCTGAAAGAAAGAAAACAAAGGGCAAAATGTAAATAAAAGAAATTCAAAAAACTTAATTTGAAAGCACTCATTCTATGGCAAAATTATTAAACCTAAACATACCACAACTGCATACAATAAAATTGTTCCTATATTGTCAAAAAATGCTCTGTCTTGAAGAAAATAGCCAGCCTCTAGAACAATTCTGAAAAAAAAGGACAGTTATGAAACAAAACAATTAATTTGAATGAATTGTGTAAACTTAAATATGCCATGACCAAAATGATAATTTTGGTGAATCATATGTATGTCCATCATACAGGAAGACAACACAACACAGACATCAAGCACCTCTAAAAGTACAACCAGGAGAAACTTTAGAAATGCAGGTCAGGCAGAAGCCAACCTCTCAGTGATCATCATATCATAATACATGTAATATGCATGTATAACTGAATGGATACAGGTATATATATACCTAGGTAGGGTGTTGGGAATGATTATGGACTTTCCAGATAATTGCTGCATGTATTAACATCTAGTACCAGTACATGTTCGGAGCAAATTCCCATAGGAAAAAAAGCTGATAAAAGTCCCCTCTCTATCCCTTGGCCATAATTCACAGTGTCCCCCCCTCCCCAGGTGTCATTCTTCCCTGACCCGTACATGCACTCTACATGTACTTGGAAAATTTGTTCCAACTGGTGCCAGGTCAGTTTTTGAAGAACACAGTCCAGCAACGTCAGGCTGATGCTGATCAATATTTACTAAGGGTATACTTTTGAGATGCAATAATATTGTAAGAATATTTATAACTATTGATAAACATACATGTAGAAAAGAGACTTTCAAGTCAAATCACAGGTACTTACGGCGGCAACATGAACAAAAAGAACGTCCGTGATGAAAAGATTGGAGCTCTGTCACTGATGCCCATAGCCCTAGATAAACAAAACAATATCAAAATATTATTATGTGACATGATGTACAGTGTGTCAGATAATTTATACACAAACTCATTTGAAATCATATGTAAGTTATAATTATATTAGTATTCTCTCCCAAGATAGGATGCCAGTTCACTACTAGTTATCATCAGGTTACGTATTACATACTTAATCTCAGAGCAGACAAAAAAAGCAGAACGTGATGCAGTTCTGTCAATAATTAATAACAGAATTGATAATTAATAAATTAAAATGTCTTGACCGAGGACATTACACCAGGTCAATGTTCCATTCTGGATCTTTAGAAAATAATTGTATTTGAAGTTATCATACCCAGCATGACTGGAAATTGACATGGCCGTGTAGTGGGTTTAGGGGCACCATGGATTCTGGATCGATTGATAATAATAATAATAATAATAATAATAATAATAATAATAATAATGATAATGATAATGAAAATAATAATAATCATAACAGTAATAATAAAAATAATAACAATAAAAATAACAATAACGATAAAAATACTACTACTGCTACTGCTACTGCTACTGCTACTGCTACTGCTACTGCTACTGCTACTGCTACTGCTACTGCTACTGCTACTACTACTACTACTACTAATCCTTTCACACTACACATATATAGGACAATGGATAAGCTCTAAAGGGGAAGTGCTACAGTGTGCTTTAACATCGCTGAGCATTTTCTAGCTGGCAGGGAGCTCCCCACTACTCAACTGTCACATACTGTGATCACTTTCAGGTGTGCAAAGATTGTGGAAGTTTTGAGTCTGTTACTGCTAGTCTTGATCAGCCAATGAGGTTGATCTGACTGGTTATGCAGCAACATTCATATCATGTGATGAAGGTCTGCTGTGCTTGGTGCTTTGTGGCAAGGTAATAAGTATTGACTGAGATGCTCATTGGTATACATGTGGGTTCAAGGAAGCAATCCATACAAGGCATCATTTCTGATAACATCCAAAGGGATGCTAAGTAGCATAATACTTCCTGAAGCACCAATGTCCACAACAAAAACAACAACAAAACAGCAACAGTTCAGAACAGTACAACATTGAACCACTGAGGGATCAAATTTTCACCAGAAAAATGGAATAATGGAGAAATGGAATGCACCAACCACATCCAACCTTCCTAATATAAATGGTGGCATGTAACTAGTTGAACCCATTGCTAATGGTAGCCTAGCAGAAGACAGTTGAACGTCACCATCAACATGCCTATCTTAAAATTTTAATTGTAATTAATTATAATTTATGGTTCACTCCATAAGGGGGCAAGATGAACTGGATCCTGTGCTGTGATTGGTCACCTTAGCTGGCCAGATGGCACTATCTTGCCCACTCAGGATCACCCGCTGTGTCCCACAACAAAACAGTGCTCTTTTTCCATATAGTAAATCCTTTATTGACCAAGCTTGTTCAGTCAAGATGGCTGGATATTAGCCTCATTCTTTTTTTTGAATGTTTATAGCCCTTGGCTCCGTCTCGATCCAAAAAACATGCAAAAAAGAACTTGACCAATATCCAGCCATCTTGACCTCATTCTTGGTCAATAACCCATCTAATTTATTGGAATTATATCTACCATGTTGTACAACGAAAACCTTGTCCTCCTAATGATATTGTGACTGTTAAATGTCTGAGCTACAACAAAGCAACTTACTCCATTATTCCTCCTATTACAACTCCAAGAACTATAACCAAGCTGAAAGAAGAAAACACATTTCATTACTCACAGAAATGTTTGAGCAACAAGTATTGTATTTTTCATGTAAAATAACTTACCCTTCACTACTTATGGGGCCTTGAGTAATGGAATTTAGAACATTTAGAAATAGGTTAAAATCAGCAACCCATATGGGCAAATGGAGACATAAGTTTTTTGATCATAGAGATGAGAGTAGTGGGGGGGGGGGGGGGGAGAGATCCCATTTCATGCGCAAATGTTAACGAAATTCACAGGCTACAAATACTTTCAGCTTGTTTTAGCTACTTTTTTTTTTTATAAATTCACGAATTTGCATGTCTTATAATTGCTTTTATTGTGTCAAACACTTATTTCTGCCTTTATCACCAATCACACATTCACCATTTGTCACCTTATTATTGTGCGCCAGCCGATATTGGCAGTTGTCTAGGCAGAGTTTGACTTGGAGATTAAATAATTGTTTTAGGAATACAGCATGTCCGAAACAAACAAAAGATAACGTGACAGGTTCTTTTAGTTATCCCTTTCTTCTTGTTTGCTGAAATATTTCTTGTTCAAACATAAACTATTTATTTTGTCTGTTCCTCAGAATCTAAATGTCTGCACGTTTTCCAATAAAGAAGGTGCATAAAAGGCACTGCTACATATGTGGGTTGTTTATGATAAAGGCCAATACTGATAAAGAAGGAGCTGTAATTTTGAATGCAATATTTTGTTTTTGCCCATGCACTTGGCACAAATTCAATAGCTAAGCCAAGGCATAGGAAATATTCAAGCCAATATAAACATTAAACCTTTTGAGTACTGTGGCGTTAATCTTTGTTGCATCAAAATGTTGGTTGTAATGTTGGCCACAACAAGAAGCTAAATGTTATGCGAATGACACACAATATAACGCTGGATTTCTAGGTCTACCTGCTGAAAGACAGTCAGTTGACAACCGACCTAACTATGCAAACAAACGAAAATTACTGTCAGACATCTGACAATAACTGAGGCGGGAATACAAATTGGAATTTCAGCGTCTTAACATTTTAATCAAGCCGACGTAAGCTTAAGTTAACAAAGTGCACTGCAAATTTCTGTAGGACCTAACATCGCCGACGAAAATTATATTATATGCATTTTTCACTTAAAAGAATGGCTTCTAAAAGTTATTTCTATTTTCTTGTGGATTTTAAGCGGTTTTCAGTTTCGATCATCATTTAAGCTGAGTACATCCGCGGTGCAATGCATACACATGGAAGCTAACTAGAAGCGGAACGAACTCCCAAAACGAAAATTAACTAAAGATGATCGATAATTCATATTTGCATTTTGCTTCAACTTACCATGATTCTGGTATGACTGAGGATAGCTTGTGAGACAGATGAAACCCTAAAAAAAAAGAGAGAGTATATTTATGACAAAGACCATCTTTATTTGGTCACTCTGAATTAAGCTTGCATTAGAAATCGACACCCGCCTGCTCAGCTAATTTTTACATAAGTACAAAAACACCTTACCAAGTTTAGCAAGACTTGCTATAAGAATCCACACAATAATCGTTAGCGGTCCAGATACATATTCAAAATCGAATCTAGCCACTTTTATCTCCGCTGAAGATTCATGGCCTGAATCTTCGTTGTGAATCGAAGAATTATTGCTAGGACTCTCGATGGCTGGGTCATCCACCACCGCGTTTATCCGAATAATTAACACGCCTACTAACAACAAAACTGCTGCTGGGTTTATGAAAGCCATCTTAACTTTCATGTCTCCTCGGGATAAGACGATCTTTGCTTAACAGAATGGTTTGGCCAATGAGTAAATCCCTTCATCGATCTTCGGGCAACGACTAGACCGTCTTCTGCAATAAAATTATTTTTTTCGTCAAGCCCGCCGGGCCGCTTATGCAAGAGGGCTGGTAACCAGCAAGCGTCCTCGTTTCCAGGCCTTATGTAAAATTGTCACGTAATTTGAACACAAAACCATGGAAGCAAAAATATAATATTTCAAAATCATGCAGGAACTTTATAGAAGAGTCATATGATCTGACCAGTACAGGATCGACAGACTTTTCAACTCAGCATGATCACTGGCATTCAAAGAGGAAGGCAGCTATTCAGGCAGCTTTTCATTAATGGAAGGTGTACAATATTGTGTCCAGTCAACGAATGGAGATATCAACAAAACGTACGTACACGTAAGGTTGCTGCTTGATTGTTCTTGATTGTTAATGTTTCTCTTTACAGATCGTTTATTTTTAGGTTCATTTGATAATCCATCGATTTGTTTACCGATACGTAATTGTAGTGAAAGATAGAACACATATATATGCAATTTAGAAATTCCGCCCGAGGGGAATGAAAACGATTACGTCAAGTTTGTTATTTATCGCTTTTTGAAAGTAAATGGACAAATGCTCGGCGATAGAGATAACCAAGCTCTTTAGATGCCCATAGTTCAAAGTACAGTGATAAATTTAAGGAAGATGAATTTGTCGCTTTCTGGCTAAAACTCGACATCACATGACAGACACACCTCTGACACACCTCCAACCGTGACAACAACATCAACAAAGAAAATTAAGGTGAGTGCATGGGGGGCAGACAGGTGCAGGCAAGAGAAATCGTTGTTCTAATATGCATTTTTAGACCTTTTAGCTCAATACAGAAGCACTGTGACAGTTATTTGAGATATGATTTAATGGCGGCAAATAATCAATCAAGGATGCTTGCCGCCCAACTTCTTTTCCATAGAAAAAGAAGACAATCGTTCTTGTGTATGTCCAACTATATGCCCACAAAATTGTTAATCTTGCAATTAATTAACATAAAGTGTTGAACTGAACGAGGGAGCATATCACATGTGACAAAATGCATGCTCGCTCCTGACTGAACATTCCCGGACGCCGAGAAGAATCTAGGCACCAGTTTTTTTCTTTAAGGCAGGCAAAGCATCCTGGGAGTTTCATTGCCGTCATTCGGTCATTCTACGAGGAAGAGTTGGGAAGAGGGGACACTAGTAATTACAAGGTTATTTATCACTTTTTGTTATTTTTCCCATTGCTGCGTAGTTCAGTTTTAATTTGGAAGCCATGAGTGATGTTTTTTTTGGCCTGAATATATGATTGAATTCCAAAGTTCGATCAGCTGATTTTCTCATGTCATGTGGCACTTTTGCGGTCCAGACAACTTTTCATAGCGCTGTCCTTTCTTGTCTGCAACGCTTCCAGAGTAAGAAGTTAGCCATAGTACGTTTCCCTGGTTTTTGATGCAACGTTTTTTTTTTAAATCGTAGATAAGAACTTTAAAACTAAGCTTAAGCTTGAGCAGCTTGTTTATACGGAAATACATACACCTACCCGCGTGTTACTCGTTTACTTGGACACCTCTCCTATGGGCGATAGTTCACATTTCATTCCATTTTTGGCTGCTCTATTAAGGAGGGGGGGGGGGGG